CCTCGAGTCAAAAAGTTTGCCCACCCCCTGTTCCAGACCCTCTCAGCTAATAGAGCAAGGAAATATATATGTGTAGAATAATCCATGCATATGTGACCATCTGTATATTAAGGTAAACATGAGTTGACACTGATGTTTCCAACTCTGATTCCTTGCTACCTGTGTCATCTTGCCTCCTCCCCCTTGCTTATCTGTAACCTCCCATTCCAACAGTGAGAAGCCCAACTCCCGCCTTCCGCCATCCATTTACTTAATTGTTTAATTCCAATACATACATGCATAGCACTTTCAGAATCGTTGACCCATATCCTTGTGGGAAATGACTTTATCAACCTGAGTACAGTGCCTAAGGTACAGTTTATCATGCCTTTATAGTCTAACAGACTTCACTTGTTTCCAAAACTACTTAGTCAACACTTTATTCCCCGACCCCACCCTTCAGTAAGGTATATGTTTATAATACATTTAGAATTATTTGTCACATTGTGCTTTCAACTTGGGATTCCCAACCAACTAAATGAGTTTTTTAAAATGTATATATATTGAGCTGTAAAGTTTTAGAGGTTTGACTAGTGCTTTAATGTCTTGTATTCACCATTACTGTATCATACCCTAAAAACATTCCCTGTGCTGTATCCAAATCTTTCCCCCTCCTCATGCCTGGCAACTAATTCTCTGTTTACTATCTTTATAGTTTTGTCTTTTCCAGAATGTCATATTATTGGAATCATATAATATACAGCCTTTTCAGACTGGCTTTCTTCACTTAGCGTTGTGCTTTGTAGAGTCATCCATGTCTTTTTGTGGCTTAATAACTTGTTTTGTTTTGTTTTACAGCTTGTTTTTTATTGGTGATTAATCTGTTTTCTGGATTTACCACATTTTTTTCATTCCCCTATTAAAGGACATCTTGGTCACTTCCCATTTGGGATAATTATGAGTAAAGCTGCTGTAAACATTTGTGTGCAGTTTTTTTGTGGACATCAGTTTGTACATTAGTTGGGTACATATCTAGGAGTGTGATTGCTGGATTGTATGGTTAGTCTGTTCATTTTTGCCTTTCCCATATTTTCTTTTTTTAATAATTCGTTATTGTTGGAAGTATTACATATGTCCCCTTTTTCCCCAATGACCCCCTCCAGCCTGCCCCTGCCCCCACCCCAGGCCTTCACCACCCTGTTGTCTGTGTCCATGGGTTATGCATAGATGCATACATACAAGGTCTTTGCTTCTCCCATATTTTCTAACTCTCCCTGTATGGCTACTTTTTTGAAGCATATAAACATTCTTAAATTTCTTCCTTCTTTAGGGGAAAAAAGTCAAACCCTTGAATTTTTAGCTTGGTCTACTTCCCAGGACTCCTACTCCTTTTCACAGCTAGGCTTTTCAAAGAATCACCTACACTTACTGTCACCTCTTCATCCCACACTTAAGGAATGGGGACTATGAGTTAGACCTCTACTTCCTCCAGGCCTCCTCAATTGCTGTTAAAGATCATGGGATCTGGTTAGTTCTCTTTCTTCACCTTTTATGGCATTTGACGCAGTATAACCACTCCTTTCCTGAAGCCTGTGACCACTCTTCCTGTCAGTGTTTCCCTTTATCTCTCACCGTTCACCCTCTTCCTAGATGAGTTTACCTACTCTCTTGGCCTTTAGTTTCTACTATGACTAACACGTATCTTTATCTCAGTCTATTACAGTTTCAGATCTGTATGCCTATTAGATGTTCCCCACCCACCTCAAACACATCCCAAACTGCACTTGTTACCATCGGTAGCTAGTTATTGAAAGGAAGAGAGCAAGGAAAGTCAGAATTGATATGTTACATACTCTGACTTAATTCCAGGAAAAGAAACCATGATATACAACTGGCTCAGCTGAGAATAACATACAAAATGTAATAATATAAATGCTAATTTGTTTTCTAATGTTGCTTTATGACTAATTTGAAAGAATGAATAGAGAGGGACAGGAAAGGGTGTTTGAAGGCTAAACTTTACATATTCTAGGAAGTTAGGGGATTATTAAAATTCTCTTTGTCTCTCCCATATTGGATTCTCTGTGCTGGATCCTACCTCTTCTTTTTTTTTTTTATTTCTTTTTTAATTTCCTCGCTCCTTTTGGTGAAACTTATCCTCTGGTAGTTTCCTGAAAAAAGAAATGAGAGATACATTTTTTTTGAGACCTTGCATCTGAAAATATCTTAATTCTGTCATCATACTTAATTGATAATTTGACTAAATATGTAATTCTTGGTTAAGAAACATTTTCCCTCAAAATTTTGAAGGCATTGTTACATTGTCCTCTTCCTATATTGCTTGGAAGAAAATCAGTGCCATTCTTTATGATCTATTTTTCTAGTCTCGGGGGTTTTGGAGCCTCAAGTTTTGTGATTATATGTCTTGATGAACATCTATTTATGCTGCTTGGTATTAGGAATGGACTCTTTCCATCTGGAAATTCATGTTCTTTGAATTCATATGCTGTAAATTTTTCATAATACTTATTTAATAATTTCCTCTCCTTCATATCTTCATTGTATCTCTACCTGGAGCTTTTATTAGTCAGTTTGTTTCTAGATGGGTCTTTCTATCTTTTTTATTTGCTGACCTCTGATCAATACGATATAGAAGTGCTGAGTCCTGGACCAGGACCTTAAGAGTCTAGATCAGCCGTGGGCAAACTACAGCCATTACATAAAAGGGTACGGTCTTTTTTTTTTTTTTTTAGTTTTATTCCTTTCAAACGGCCGGATCCGGCCCGCGGGCTGTAGTT